ATGGAGCTTGCAGGACTGAAAGTTGTCCTGAGTGACTGGTGAGTGAATGTGAAGGCCCACAACATTAGCATACAGTACTGAAGACTTTATAAACACTGCACACTCAGGCTAGACTAAATCTATAAAGCATGAGATTAAATCAAGCACAAGAGAAAATGACTCAATCAAGAGCCACAGTAAGCACGAGAAGCATGAGGCTGCTCTTTTTTTTTTTTATATGTCTTTACTGATTTCGGAGAGACGAAGAGAGAGGGAGAGAGAGCTAGAAACATCAATGATGAGAGAGTCATTGATCAGTTGCCTCTTGCAAGCCCCCTACTGGAGATTGAGCCCACAACCTGGGCATGTACCCTGACTGGGAACTGAACCACGATCTCCCAGATCATAGGTTGATGCTCAACCGCTGAGCCACGTCCGGCCGGGCAGCACAGTCTTTTATATTTAAAGCAAACTTTTTTTTATAAGTAGAAAAAGTACACTCTAAAATAATTAAAAGTACAATACAGTAAATACATAAACCAGTGACACTGTCATATATGATCATTATTAAGTATTATGCACTGTACATAACTGCATGTGCTTTACTTTTATACTGGCAGCGCAGGTTTGTTTGCTCCAACCCCACCATAAATAAACACATGGGCAATGCGCTTCGCAACAGTGTTACAACAGCTATGAAGTCAATGCATCACTAGTTGAGAGGAATTTTCAGCTTCACTGTAATCTCATACATGCCCTCATATGTGCAGTTCTTGACCCAAATGTCATTATGTGGTGCCTGACTATAATTAAGAAATAAATGGCTCAGAATTGTTTTGATGTTGAAAAGAAACGGGTTAAAGACAATGCATGGCAAATACATTTAACAATATCAACTGCAGATGAATTGACAGAAGTTTAATAAATGAGATTAGAAGACTGTTACCATAGGCATTCACTTACTAATAATCTACCAAAACATTTTGAATTTAACTTAATATTGATTTGTTACGGAGTTTTAAGGGATAGAAACTAAATAATCACAAGTTTGTGGGCTCGAGGCCAAAGAGCCCCATTTGAATCTCAAGCAAAGTATGTGCCTACAAATTCAAAGTAATAGAGGAAAACACAATCTGATTGGAAGTAAGATACCAAAATTCTGGTTTAGAATAAGTGAGTTGTAAAGACAATATAACTACAGGTTTTAGAGCAGCTTTCGAATGGTTTAAAGGTTGATTCCCGCTTATCCCCGCCTACGTTCCTATCACCTAAACCTGAACAACTAATGTCCCACTTCCCAGATAAAATAATGTTTACTTTATCTTATTTATTTTACTCAAAATTATTTTAAAATAATGTTTTAAAGAAGCAGGAAAACCTGATTTTCAAAGGGTATCTTTGGAGAATGCCAACACATGACAGGGACAAAATGAGCACTTTGGTAGGGAACCAGGGACCCATCCGATTACTGCCATCCATGGCCTCTCTCCACCCACAGCAGCCCCGGAGGCCCTTGCACTCACTCCCAAGATTCTAGAGAACCTGTAAACTATGGCTCCACAAAGTAAGAGCAAACGTTCTGGTCTGATCAGAAAAAATGTTTTTCAGAAGCATGGCAAAAAAAAGACATTATAGAAATTAAAATGTTAATAGCGACTATATTTGGGTAGTAGAATTATGAGTAATTTCTTCTTTTTCCCCCCAAATTTTCTAGTCAATAGGAATTACTGTTAGCAACCAAATTTTAAAACAGTGTAAGTGTAATTACTCTCCCTGTAATGTATTGTGTTGTAGTATGTTAGAGAAAGCATTTCTGTACCACAGCAAGTCCACTTAAAAAAATACATATATATACATACACACACAAAAATAATTTAAAGATTAGAGATACAAATTTAACAAGATAACAATTTGACAATATAATTAGAAAGGCCTGTTTATATTTGAAGCACATACTATTTTATCATAACAGATCAGATATATTTATTTCCTTTAATAACCTATTCATTGAATTTTCCAGTAAAGCCATAAGTTACTAATTACTCTTGGAATCAGAAAAGAGGTTAAAAAGTTAAGAAAAAAAGTGTCCCTGAAATCTACTGCTTTCAAATAATTCTTGCATTTCCAAAACCCACCATCCAAGCCAAAGACTAAAATTAAGATATCAGTAACATTTCCCAGACGAGTAAATAATCAATTAATTATATTTGCTTCTGGGAAATGAAGAGAGTAAATATTAACCATGATAATATCAGGCAGGTGGGGGAAGTTATAGCCTAGTACAACATAAGCATTTTACATATTGGTAATTAATAGTATTTTAATTTCCTGTATTCCTACCTAGATTTGTTTATCCATCTTATCCTATTTCCTAATTATCTCACTATATATACTACATGTATAAGTCTGAGATTGTAGAAATAGCCAGACACAGACCCAACCAGATTACTTTCTTTTTGAAATTTTCTTGGATAAAACCTAAATCAACAAAGTTTAGTCTTTTTATAATTTAAGAAACCCTGAGTGACTGCAATCATTAAGAAGAGCTTAGAGGCCGGCAAAAACCACTCTTCCTCACACTTTTTTATTTTATTTTACTGAATTTTGGGGGTCTTCCTCACACATTTTAAGAAAAGGTATCTATCGTAAGCAAGAACTAATAAAAGACTAAATTAAATGGGAGTTTTTAAAGTTTTCATTTTCACAACCCAGTCATTTAAATAAAGTTTTGGATTCCCTGAAGCTTCAAATAAAACGGAGGTAAACAGAACTATTTGAGTTTAAGACCAGAGCAGTGATCTGGAAACCCATTTGCTTTATTTCCTTACCACCATCACCCTCAAAATAACATTTTTGGTGGAATCCCTGCGGCAATGATTTTAAGGGGAAGGGAATGAGAAACTCTAGTGGAATACATAGAAAGAAAAATAACATTCAAGCCACCATTATAATTGTATATAATTTTATGTTTAAATTATATCTGAATTCTGTTTAGTCATCTAACACATATTGAATGCTCAAAAAACAGTCAACAAACAAAAGAAAAGGCATCAGATTGTGATCCTCATTAGGGCTGAGAGGCACTTCAACAGGGTTCAACAGAGGGCAGTTTGAAACATACTGTACTAATTTATTCTAATAGCTTAACCAGAGCACCTAAAATAAATTACAGTCAATTCTCATTACTCGCAGTAGTTATGGTCTATAAAGTTCTGCAAACACTGAATTATCGAAAACAGGGCTAGGTTCCTGAAATACTCTGATCATATATTCATCAACCAATCGATACATAACTTTGTCTTATGTATGTTTGTGTTTAATGACACCTTATTTTATATATATATGTAAATTTGATATAACATTGCACTCAAAGTCAACAACACTATAACTCATTCCTGAACAAGGCTTATCTAACATAGGTACTTCCTCTGGAAGGCACATCACAGACTTCTTGCACTAAGGAACACTAGACAGGACTACACTTAGGGGTGATTTTAAACAGCAAAATCACCAACAAGAAGCACAAAAATAAGAAAAACATAGCATTAAATAGATGACAAAAAGGACATTGATTACAGTCTGAGAGTTGAAACAAGAAGGTAGAGGACCATCTCGTTCAAATTCTTTTTTGTTGTTCTGTGTAAGTGCCCATCTGCAAATAACCATGGAAGTGCCATGGGCATTGACTTTGGAGTTACAAAATAATTTTACCAAGTGAGTCTGCAAATACAGAAACCATGAGTAATGAGAATAAACTGTATTTTCTTAGACAATAAATTTCATATAAGATTTTGAGATAAGCACAAACCATGAGGATTAGTGAATTAGAAAAGGTACTAGACAGAGGGAGAAAGAATAAAAGTCAGAATTAAAATGAAGGCTCAAAATTCTGCATCAGTCATATCCACTGACATTTTACTGTATCTGTGGTAGATTATGTTATTGTTCCCAATCCATCAACCTTCCCTGCGTCCACAATCTTTCACAAGTGATACTACAGTTCCTCTCAATAGAGACCAGACGTATTTCTGCACTGTACTGATGTTCCCCATGGTCATGTGATTTACTTTGGTCAGTGGAATATTCAAGGACACGATATGAGCAAAGGCTTGAAATGTGCTTCCAGAGTTTGAGTTTCCTTCTTGTGTTTCTCCCATCACCATGAGAAAAACATGCCCTCACACAGTCTTCTGGTGTAAGGAAGAACAGAGAGAGACATGAACAGACCTAGACTCTATCTGCAGCTTAAAGCCAAACCCAGCCAAGAGTAGCTGACCCAAAGATATATTAGCAACTATAAATAAGCCATTATGTTTTATAGCATTATTGTGGCTATAGTTAATTGATATTTGATATGCTTACATATTAATTTTTAAACATCATTATCCTACTAAAAATCTTTATATAGAAAAGGTTGATGAGACCCTCTTTCCTTCTTGTCCTTAAGCCTAGTACATGGTAGGTTTTTGGTAGACTGTTTCCAAAGATGGCTGTATCCATATCTCCCACCCCATGCAAAAATTTAAATGTGATCTTGACATTCACACACCAACCAGTACAGTCTATCTCCTCTCTCCCCAAATTTGGACTGTCCCTATGATGTTACACAAGACTTGAAGACAGACCTTAAGAAATCCAAAGTTTCCATGTTCTCCCTTCATGGAACCCAGTCATCAAGCAAGAAGTCAAACCCCACTAAGTCTACCACACTGAGAAATGCCAAACTAGACATGTGAAAACCAAAGGGAGGGGGAAGTGGGAGAGAGAAAGCGATGCCAAGGGCTAGAGCACCAACCATATACCCATCTGCATGAGGCCATTTTGGACTTTATAACTATCCTAGTGCTCCAGCTGACACTATATGAAGCAGAAGAACTTCCTGGTCAAGCCACAGAATTGTGAGAATAAATTGTTTAAAACAAGATACTAACTTTTGCGTGAATTATAGCAACTCAAACAAATTGCTAATAAATGTGTGCTGAATTAATTAAATTCACTAAAATATTCTGTTTAATGCTTACCTTGGTGTTGGCCATGTCCACAATATACTGGTCTCCTTTTATACATTCCATTACTTCAAAACCATCTCTGTCAATCACTTTGGCTTGAGAGCTTCCAGATACTACAAGAATCATGTCTCCTGTGTTACTATACTGTAATGACTTGATCTGATGGCTATGCAAAAGAAAAAGAAAAGTCTGGTAAGAACTGAGCATAATGTTTATACTTTAACCACAATAAGTACTGTAAGAGAAAAAGTCAGACAACGGCACAAATTGATAATTCTACAAAATCCTCAAATGTGCCCTCACCACCAGTGGCTATCCTGCCAGTTCTCTCCTCCCACCATCCAAAGCAATCTATTAAAATCTTCTCTACTCACTTTAAATCTTTAACCCAACCAACTTCCCCTTCCAGCTGTTGATTCTTCCTGCTCTTTCCCAGAAGAAACAAATAAGAGCTGCTTCAACTCCCTTCCATTAATGTTATAAATGTACTTGCACCTGAACTCCTCCTCCTTCTCTTTGGTTACAATATTGGAAATGGACCACTTCCTGCAAGAGGTGAATCTGCTACCTACACGCTGGATCCATCCTTTCCCGTATCCTTGGGTACTTCTATCCTCTCTCTGCTCCCCTGACAGGTAAGCTGTTTCAGTAAGTCTTCATCTCGTCTTTATTTCTACCCTCACCACTCCACTAAAACGGATCTTTGCCATTGTGGCTGTGGTGAACATTCTGGTGTGCCACCCAGATCTACCCCTTCAGGACCAAAGTACCCATTCCCCTAGCTTCCAGGATTTGGCCTGCTGGTGGTTAACAACTGAACCCTCAGGAACTTCCCTAAGTTGCAGAGAACTCCCTCACCCAAGGTTATGTTACCACTCCAAAGCAGCCCACACCCAATGACTGGTTGACGAGCAGTAAAATAGTCCAGCCCTCTGTTTCAATGTGGGATATCTTGGAAGGGTTATTCTAGCTTCAGCTCTCCCTGCTGGATCAGATGCAGCTGCTCTTGCAATTAGACGGCAGTTCAACTTCCCCATCTTCTTAATGCTGTTTCCCTTGCACCCTCTCTCATGGGAGTTGATCCCAGAAGCACCCCTCAACAAGTCTCCTGCATGGAAATCCTGAAGTTTCAAAGTATGTTCTGGGGGAACCTGACCTGACAGAGTTGGTATCAAAAGTGGTCCTATGGAGTTGACTCCCAAGTGCTGCGATTTCAGAGAGGTATCAATCACCGACTGGCTAGCAATGATGCACTATAACTGATGGCATATGGTCCCTGACACGCTCTAGTAGTACAATGGCAATTTCTAAATTTTGTTGGTGAAATGAAAGGTACAGGCTAGAGCAACTTTTCAGGCATTTGAGAGGTACAGGAAAAGTAGTAAAATGATTATAGAACTGGATAGCTACTGCTAAGGAAAATCAATACAATGAAGACAATGAAAGGCTGAAGATGATTAATCACCCATTAAAGACTATACTGTAGTGTGAAAGCCAGACATCCTCTTCAGCAGTTTATAAAGATGGGGTATGGTCTCCGTCAGCAGAGCAGTACACAGCCACTGACCTGCTCTACAGTGTGTCTTTCTACTTCTGTTAGGCAGGACGACCTAAAGCAGTTTGCTTCCACGTCGACCTGCAGCAGCATGTGTTTACATGCTCGAGCCAGCGCTGTGTTAATTTTCTGGCACTTTGTCCTAACATAGTCCCAAGGGACCTGGACCAGCTGAGTGATCCAAAGAAATTCATTCTGGTTCATGATCTCCATGACATCATATTAACTGAATCAGGTGAGCAAGAAGTAACAAGTAGGTTGATAAGAAACATGCTACCCAGAGAACGAGAGAGAAACCCTGGAAAAGATCAAGAAATGGAGACAAGGAGATGCTGGGAAGATGCATGTGGATGAACATGAACGTGGACACTGAGTATGAAGCTCTCTGTGTCACATGTTAATCCCAGATAGCATCAACCTCAAAAGAGGTCATGAACAACCAAGCAATGTCACCATCTACCCCGTCGTTAATGCAATAGGCATAAAAATGAAGGAGCCCCGGGAGAAAGGATGAAAATTATGAGGGGACCAAGATCAGCTCTCCAAAGCTGAGCCAGCCAATGCTACCAATGAGGTCCACCACAGGCTACAGAGAGCCCCCCTCCCGAAATCAGTACTGAACTAATGAATAACTAAAATACATAATATGAAAAGCTATCATAAATGTATGGTGGGAAACAGAACAGGCAAAACAGACAGTGTGCACCAGGGGCAGGGATAAAAGTTTTAAATCAAGTGGTCAAGAAGTGATTGAGTGGGCTGCCAAGTGAGGGAGGGAAGAGGCAACAGAGATACTCTGAAGGCGCGTTCAGCAGCTACTACAGAGGGCCTGCAGCAAAAGTGTGCCTGGCATTTTCCCTATGTGGCTGTACCACAGTGAGCAGGAACAGGAGTTGGAGACACGATCAGAACGCAGCAAGTGAGGTGGTGTAGGTCACAGAGGGCCATTTAAGCCACTGCAAGGTGCTTGGCGTTTACTCTCTCAGAAAAATGAGAGAAAACCCACTGGCGCGCTTTGAATGAGGAATGACACAACCTGACCTATGTTGTAGAGAACCTTTTCTTGTGCCTGGACCATTTTGTACTCTGAAGTCTGTGGATCCCTTTTATTATGTTTTTAAAACACATTTTAAAAGTATTTTAGGTATACAGTAGGAACCAGTTATAAAGTATATAACTATAAAAATACATTTTTAAAATTTGTGACATACTGTATGGGTTTCTATATACCAAGTAACTACACCTCAGGCAGGTCTAATAACTACTCTAATTCCAAAGCAATGAAGAGCATACAGTACATATATATTTCCATGTATCTGTTACAATGGCAATGTGATATAAAAGCATCTGAAACTTGCAGGTACACCTGTGACTTTGTTGCCTGCTTTACTAATTAAAGGTGTCTGGTGAGTTCTGCTGTCACAGCTACACAATAACCTCTTTATCATTCAGTGAGCCACAGACTTGCCCGCTTATATGAGGCCCGGATTTCAGTCTTGGGGGCCTCTCCCTTAAGGGTAGTGGCTGTTCCTTTTATCTGCTATTCCTATAGTCTTTAGAGTTTTCTTTACTTTTTACTAGCCAATCCCTCATTACTCCAATCCCCTGTTACGGTTAGTAATCCTGTATTATAAACCTTCCCTGTTCAAATTACTGGGTGACTTCTCTCTCCTAATCAGACCCTGACTGATATACCAAATTCCAAGCAATTAATTAGGAACTGAGAAAATTATAGGCTGTTTAGTCCAATATTTTTATATATAAACAAACAGCTCAGCTCTTTGATAATTAGATAGTTCAGACTGCAAAATCAAAGTCTTATAAAGTAGGAAGAGAAGGAACCAGCTAGTTCACAGGATATATCTTTGTTTACAGTACTTTCATTTCAGGGAAGCCTTAATTTTCTTCACTAACTATTGTACTATCAAGTACAATAAGTGATTACTTTGGGGTTTTTTTCTGGTGAATCATATTCATTTCCAAAGGGGAAGGAAAGTCTAAAAACACAAAGTGAAATTTAAGATGATGGGGAAGTCAAGGCTCCATGTCTTGGGCTATCTGTTCTACCAATTGCTCCGTCTACATTTGGAGAGAAACACAAAATCTCAGAGATCCCTGCACTGATACTTGCCTTTCCTTTTTAGCTGTATAGGAAACCCAGTGTTTCCCTCTGTCTCACTGTTTTCACTACTCTCTCTGCCAACATGAAAGAGAATGTTCAGCATTAAAGCTCGCCATTCCTGGCCCACTTCGCTCTTAATTCTGCTCGCCACGGAGTTAAAAGGCCAGGATTAGGTGTCATTAGACACAGTACTAAGGAGAATTAAAGGGCTTGTTCAAGGGGTGTAACATCTGCTTCTCAAATTCCTGCCTAAACAACTAAGATTCCGATCAAAGAGAAGCGAGGGAAAGCCAATCCTGACAGTCAACTAGAGCCACGAGGAAGTGAATGTTCTCTCAGGGAGTAGCTGCCACCAGGGGAAGGCTTAGTGACATTGCACAATTCTTTCTGTGAAGTTATTCATGGGGCAAGGGGGAGTCTCTGAGTGTAAGTGGTGGGGAGTGGAAAGGTGAAGACTGAGGATCCTTTTAAGTAGTTTTTGCTCCGCTAGCAAAACAAGCCGAGACATGCAAGACAGATAAACACAGCTGTCTGGGGCTGTCACTTGGGGCTCAGGAGCCAAGGTGTCCTGATGCAGTGAAAAGCGCACCGGAATGTGAGTCAGGAGGCCAGGGACTTGAGTCTTCGCTCTGCTGCTAACTAGCTGTGGGGCGATGAGCAGGCCTTTCGGCCCACGAGCCTCGGTCTCCCCGTTTCTCTGGAGTCAGTGGACGGGACTAGATGGCAGCACCATGCAGAGCTGTCGAGACACAGAGTTCATGTACGAGCTGGGCAGCCTCACTGAGTCCTGGTTTCCTCCACTGAAAGGCCAGGAGAAATCACACTTGTAGGAATGAGTGGCCTGAAAACAGTACACATAACGGCACCTCGCACAGCTTGTGAAACCAGGAGTTGCTATTGTTACTACTTCCTCATTCCCAAGGTGTCCTTGAGATTATTTGAGAGGAGAAACATCAGAACTGGAAAATGAAAGGTAGAAACCATTCAGAAAACTTGTTAGAAAGTGACCACAGTGATTAGAAAAACACCTCCCCAAAGGGCACAACAGCCTCATGTGAAAATATCCCACAAACCATGAATTCCTAGGGTAGTAGGTTCTCAGAGTAGAAAGGCTGCCCTTATGGAAACAGTCACCACACTAGACAGCTGGCAGCTGAAAAGAATGTTCAAAAGATGACACAAGAGTTGACAAAACAAAGATGTGCCAACCAGTCAGAAACCTAACAGAACAGCTCCCTGAAACAGAGCATCCACCACAAGGAGGAGACTCCCCTGTAAGGGTTACTCTCAGACCCAGGCCCTGGGCAATCCCCCAGACCACAGGCTCAGTCCATGAGCTACAAGATATTATATTTAAGGACATAAGAGATATAAGAACCTATTTAGCCTGTGTGTCACCAGGAAAAGTTTGGCAATTCCTTACAAAGTTAACACACACATACCATACGGCACAGCAACTCACTCGTGTTTGCCCAACAAAATTAAAACA